GCTCCATTTATGCAGCTAAATAAGGGGAGGGTGAATGTGGATGAATTTCCGAGTACATGTGCTTAATAGACAAATACTTTTAATTGTACACTTACATCAAATTTTTAGGCTATGGACTTACGGTTTAGGTTTAGTAGTCAATAATCATACGAAATTCTTTCATTTACTCTCGGTCCTTCACAACATTAACAACCTTATTCTAAGGCCTTTGATCTGAGTAATTATTCAAGTTTGAAGAACATGACGCCCTTTATCCAATCTTATAAATTAAATTTAACCAAAGCTAGATTTTTTTTTTTTCCGGCCATGAAATCATTATCATCAATCTCAGCTTACATCCAAGATAATCAAATTGTTTAAGTTTCCATACTCGACAATTAACCTACACGATGATGATTTCTAGCTGCCTTAGTTGACTTATATCAATTTTAAAACTATTTCCTAATTTGGGGAACGCAATTAATTGTATATTTAAGCAATTTTGATTACTTTTTTAGCTGTAAAGAAGTTTAATTTAATCATTTCCGATTCTCGTGAGATTGATGTATGCATACAATAATCATATAATTACTTGCTAATTAGCCTAATGATGTAATGTTTATTTCTGTCTTGATTTATTTTGAAGTATGAAAACTTACAAATAACACCTGTTCAATTCATGCGTGCATGTTTTCATGTTTTGGGAGAATAATCAATTAGTCTAAATAAGAACGTGTCTTTAATATTTTGAATCGATTATAACTTTAGATCATTGATTATCTCTAATACTTGTTACAAAATCTCAATAGACAGCATATGAAAAAATGATTCATATAGCAACACAGAAACTCTTGCATGGACCTGATCCACAATAATATTATTATGGACCTGAGATTTATATACACGCAAAACTAACGTTATTTGGAACATAGTGACCGTAAATTTAACATAGTATCCTTATTTTTTTAACATAGTAACCTTTATTAAAACTTGTGTGACCTTTAATATAATTTATGTTTAACTACATCACAAAAAATTAACCTCTTATAACTTTTCTAATGTCACAATCGCTTTTATTTCAACATAATAACTTTATTTTAATGTAATGACCTTATTTTATTAATAAAACAATCATAGTATCTCTAATGTTAGTTGGTTCACAACAAATTTGTGTGAACCAGATCTATTTAAGAATTTATAATAGCCACCTGGTTCGGCAAGCACTTTTGGTTAAAAATTTAATTATTATTTAGTGTTCATAATTCATATATGCTCTAAATTTGTACAATTCAAGGGTCAACTCATAAACATCTTCGCAAAGTAGCTTTTAGAGTTTTGACTTAAAAGATAAAAGGTGTAATTCTACCATTCCTTGTTGTAAGTTAGCTTTTAGTGGTTGAACTAGTGTTAAGGAAAAGCTATAAGATCTGAAGATAGTATATAACCTTTTTTTTTGTTCTTTTTTCTAATTCAATGTGTAAATACAAAACATAAATTATTTGAAAACTACTTTGAAAGCTAACTTCAAATGCATGCAATAATAAGTAATAGGATACCTAACATACAAAGGGATATATCTAACATCTATTGCAACAACTAGTATTGTCGAACATACTCTGAATAAAGATTCTCCTCTTTAAGATGAACTACATGAAATAAGTTGTTTTTTGACGGACATAAAAATGCGTCGAAATATGCTGCAAATTTAAAAGGATATTTCAGACGGATCTAATGATTTTCGATGGAAATCTCTGATGAAATTTATTCCGTCGGAATCAAGAATTTTATTTTTTGATTACGGTCTTAACGGTTTCCATTGGAATTTTCTTAATTATTATTGCATATGAATAGATCGTGTATATTGCATGAATATTATTTGTATTTTTCTTAATTAGCTTAACACTTGAAGATTAAAATTTACAAATAAACTGCATACACAGAATATTTCGTATATAACAATTTCTCAAATATAACGAAACATTATTTGTATTGAATATGATAGAATCGATTAGTTGAGTCCAGTCCAATCAAATCATACTATTTAGCTATATACACTCATCGTATACAACATTGTGTTATAAATACACTTTTTTTTTTGGTTTTTTTTTTTTTCTATCTCACAACTTAATTGACCTTTCCTCAACCCTCCTCCTACCCCAACCCCACAAGGAATTTGTGGTACCCCAAGATTACACCAAAGATGAGCATGCACGTGAAAGCAGATAGATAAAAGTTAATGTCATTGAGCTACCACATTACTTAACCGCAGAAGTTTTTTTGTATTCTCTGTATAAAAGTCCAAACCATTAGGCAATTTGCACCATTCACAATACACCCATGACCTAATATGAAGTACTCCGTATATAAGTATAAGTACTTAATTAAGTCATTTTACGTAAAATATTGTTTCAATCTTTATTTTTAATTTGGAGCTTTACTTACAATAATAATCGATAACAACATACTATCTGAAATAAGGCCAAGATTTTTCTCAAATCATATTATAAACGTGTAATGTCGTACAACTAAAAATTATTAAAGTAGAATTCAAATTGAATTTAAATAATGTTTTGCGTATGACTACATATACTTTATATGGAAATCCATCCTCCAATCCGAACTTTATATCAATAAGCAATGAGCGGGAATTTTTTTAACACTAATGGATCAAATAAAAGTAATCCACACCAACTTATAGTCTTGTAGTAATGGCTTATAATATTGTATTAGTCAAGTTTAATTATTAGAAATAAGGCCAAATTAGAAAATAACACCTGCTAAAGAACCCGATTTTGTTTTAAACACCTGTTAAAAAAAAAGTTTTATTATAACACCTCCAAAAATCCCAAAATATTGGTTTCACCACCCACTAACGGAATTTTGGATGGAAACCGTTAGTGGGGCTCACTAGGAACATGTGTCAATAAGGTATTGGCTTAAAAAAAAAATTAAAAAAAAAGTAAAATTAAAAAAAAAAACCCTAAATCCTAACCCAGCCACCAGCCCCACCACCGACGGACGTCACTCCACCGCCGGAGACCCCCACTACCGCCGGAATACCTTCCTTCACCGACGCAACATCACCACCACCGTCGCCCCATCACCACAACAACAACCCCATCACCACAACAACTGCCAAAGCACCGAAATCCAAGCCCCATCACCGGCCCCAACCCACTAGCCGGAGAAAACCATGCCCAATTCCATCCGCAGCCCTGCCAGATCCAGTTGTGACCTCACCCCTTGTTGGTGACGCGAAACCACGAACCTTAAACTAGCGAAAAGGATTGTTGGTGGCTGGTGTGGTTTCGACGGAGGGAGATCGGGAAAAAGAGGTGGTGGTGGCAACTTTTCCTTTTCGTTGGTGTAGGGATCGTGGTTTCGACGGTAAAGGATGGGCTGTGGTGGGTGGGGTTGATGGCCAGCAATTTCGCCAGTGAAGGAAAGGGTTCAGCGACACTGGGGGTCTCCGGCGGTGGAGTCACGGCCGCTGGTGGCTGGGTTAGGGTTTAGGAATTTTTCTCTTTTTTTTGTATTTTTCTTTTTTTAAAACCAATAAACAACTTACACGTGTCCCTAGTGGGTCCCATTAACGATTTCCATCCAAAAGTCCGTTAGTGGGTGGTGAAACCAAAATTTTGGGATTTTTGGAGGTGTTATAATAAAACTTTTTTTTAACAGGTGTTAAACACAAAATCGGGGTATTTAGCAGGTGTTATTTTCTAATTTGGCCTTAGAAATAATGCCGGAATTGGTGGTAATACTAATTGAAAGACTTGGGGGTAGAATTTAATTAATTTTGTAAGGAAAAAGTTCCAAGCATTGATAGTAGCAATAAACAGCAGCCAATTACTGTCGGTTTCACATGGTTATTGATCACAATTCTCATGATCAAATTGCCGCATAATAATAACACCACTACCATATAAAATTAGTAGGCTTATTAGCTAGCTTTTGACTAATAAATAAAGTTTGTCTAATAAATATGGAGTATAAATTGAGTAAATAATAAATAGTTTAATATCGATTACAAATCATTATCTTAACCTAGTTGGCCACATTCAATTGTTTCACCTAGATATCAAAGTAGTGTACAAATAAATTTTTCCTTTAGTTAATTTTTCTAGTTATACATGGTAAAAATGTCTTACATCAAACGAGAACAAACATCAAATTAAAATGAATAATACTCAGTCCATTGAGTACATCAAACCAAAATAAATATCTTGCAACACCAACTAAATTAACCAAGAATTGATAGATACACGAATCATTAAAAAAAAAAAAAAAAAAAAAAAAAAAAAAAAAAAAAAAAAAAAAAGGGCCAAATAGTTGGTAACTAGTATATGTAGTCATACGTAAAACATTGTAACGTTCCTATTTGTAATAAGTCTTCCAGGAACAAATGCACTCTAATTTTCGGTCACCATATCTGGAAGAATATATATTTTTAATTTGAGAACAATAGCCTTAGAGACAAGCTTATACAACATATTACACAAACTGATGGGTCGAAACTCTGACATTGACTTTGGTGATTTAACTTTTGGGATCAAAGCAAATATTAGTATTATTTACATTTTTCGGAGAGACACGACCATGCAAAATACTACTAACAAATTTATAAACATCATAACCAACAATATGCCAAAATCTTTGATAGAAGATAGCATGCGTACCATCGGGGCCGGGCGCCTTACACGGGTCAAAAATATAGTTAAAGTAAGCATATAAATAAATTTTTAATAGTGTAAAAATCAAAGTACTGTGATTACGATTATTAAGATTACAACCCTTACTAAATGTAGGAAAGACAACACTACCCTCTATATTGACATTTTCTAGTTGATCTATTAGATTAACTTGTATTTGCTCGTCTATTTATATGAGTATAAAGAAACATAAAATAATTTTATAAATATTTGCTCAAGCAGCTTGATGGCAACACGGATCATAAATTCCTTCATAAGGTACGCCGCTTAATATTTGGTAAGGAAAGGGAGGTGAGTCAAGCTTATAAGATGTCTCGTCAGGTTAAGGACATTAAGGAGCAGTTGGATACTATTGTCAGTAACCATCACAAATTTGGGCTTAGTGTTGACTATAATCCTATTTGTAGAAGGAGGGAGGAAACTTGCTCCTACGTGGATGCAGGGGATATCATTGGGAGGGAGGACGATAAAAAGGTTGTCATTGATATGTTGTTAGGTCCCAATGATGTTCATGAAAGTTTCCGCTTTGTGACTATTGTGGGAGTTGGAGGATTGGGTAAAACTGCTCTTGCCCAGCTTGTGTATAACGATAACGAGGTTGAAGCCAAGTTTCCGGATCCTAAGTTAAAGGTTGTGGGTTTGTGTGTCCGATCAAGATGGGGAGCAGTTTGATGTCAAAGTCATTCTTTGCAAAATTCTAGAATTAGTTTCTGGTAAAAGGCCTGACGATACCTCCTCAATGGAGTTTGTGCAAAAGCAATTTCAAGAGCAGTTAAGAGAAAAGAAGTACTTGCTTGTTCTTGATGATGTATGGAATGAAGATTGTGAGAAATGGCGTAATCTGTGCAGGTTCTTAATACTGGGTCAAGAGGGTAGTCGGATTGTGGTAACAACACGTTCAGAGATCACTGCAAAAATTATCGGGGAAAAACATGTGCACAAATTGTAAGGTTTGTCTCCAAAGAATTCGTGGCTCTTGTTCGAGTCTGTAGCATTTGACAAAGGGGAACACGAACATGCAAATCATCTTGAATTAGTTGAAATTGGGAAGAAGATTGTTGAAAAATGCTATAACATTCCGCTAGCTATAAAGGTGGTAGGAAGCCTTCTATTTGGTCAGCATATGAATAAGTGGCAGACATTTGAGCACAGCGGATTTGCTGGAATTGGAAAAGGTGATAATGAAATTATGTCTATACTAAAGCTTAGTTACCACAACCTTAGACCCTCTTTGAAGAATTGTTTTAGCTATTGTGCACTATTTCCCAAAGATTATAGACTCAAGAGGAAGGAGTTGATTAGCCTTTGGATAGCACAAGGCTACATTGCGTCGCTGGACAGAGATCAAAGCATAGAAGATGCAGCAGAGGAGCATTTCCTGATTTTGGTTCGCAGATGTTTCTTTCAGGATGTAGAGAAGGATGAATATGGTGACATTGAGTACGTGAAAATGCATGATGTTGCTCAAGAAGTGGGGAGGGAGGAAATTGGTGTAGTGAGTTCTAATACAACCAAATTGGGAGATAAAGTTCGTCATGTGAATTTTGCTCGTGGTACTTTTTCACAAAGTTACTCATTTAAGAGTAAGATACGTTCGTTGATTTCAAGGGGTGATTTCTTGTCCGGTTTCCAGGTGTTGGGTGATTCGGTGGCGGTGGATGCACAAATTGATAGTTGGATTGGTCTAAGGGTGTTGTGCTTGCAGTCAATAGGTATAAAAAGGCTTGATTCAATTGGTAATCTATTGCATTTAAGGTATCTTGACTTGTCTAATTCTCAGTTACAGGCACTCTCTGATTCTATTACTAGACTACATAATCTGCAGACTTTAGATTTAACATATTGCATACATTTGAGGGAGTTGCCAAAGGATTTTAGCAAATTGGTAAAACTTAGGTACTTGGATTTAAGTGGTTGTTCTGATTTGAGTGGTATGCCTTCGGGCATGGATAAATTGATAAATCTTAGGCACTTTGATTTAATTAGGTGTGATTTAAGTAGTATGCCATCAGGCATGGGTAAGTTGACTAATCTTAGGGTGCTACCATTATTTGTGGTGGGTATGGAAACGAGAGTTTCAACAGAGGAGCAATGTATGGGAGAGCTCAAAGACCTTAAACCCCTGACCAACTTGAAAGGTGGCATAGTGATCGAAATCGGCAAATTTTACAAGAATGATGGAGGAGAAGAGTATTTGAAGGGTTTGAAATATCTCACTAAGGTTGAAATAAGCTTTCTTAAACCAATAAGATTTGGTTACAATGCTGATGAAGATGATGGATGTTTAGAGTGGGAAGATGTGATGGAAAAGCTAGAGCCACCTTCAAATCTCAAGATATTCAGCTTGTGTGGATACATGGGTACGACAATTCCATGGTGGGGTAGAGCACTGGATAACTGGGCACTCTCCCTCCCACTTCTTGTCGAGATCAATCTTTTATACTGTAAGAATTTGGAGCAGATACCATCGTTGAGTAAACTGTGTAATCTGAAATCACTGAGACTTGAACATCTAAAAAAGCTGGAATATATGGAGAATACAAGCAGCAACAATGCCAATGAAGGAGAAGATTTTACGGCATTCTTCCCCTCCCTTAAATTACTCTACATTCACGATCTCGGTAGTTTGAAAGGATGGTGGAGGGAGGATGATGATGATGATGACCGTATCTTGAGGAGTAGCTTCACATTTCCTCGTCTTTCCGAATTGGATATCATTAATTGCCCTAAGTTAACTTCGTTCCCTTCCCGTGGAAGTCTCGAAGATTTGGGCTTGGATGAGGTTGACTGTTTTGGAAATTCACAAGGTAACGTCGTATTAAGGGAGCTGCTTATAGATGACGGGGGTCTTCTCAACTTAATAAACTCTCCAGTCAATGAACTCCACATATTCTGGAATGAGAAGGTGGAGAGTTTATCAGAATATGGGGATGTATTCCGGAAATACAAATACACTTCCTACCTAAGAAGCCTTCGAATTTCTCATTGCTCAAATTTGAGGAGACTTGGAAGAGGGGGGTTGGAGCATCTCACCGCCTTGGAGTCATTAGAGTTTATAAAAAATGATCAACTTAGCTTCTCTGAAGACGAGGTCGATGACGATGGTATGCCATGGAAATCCCTTCAACACTGTCTCCGTTCCCTGTCTATTAATAATTGCCGGGCCATTAAATCACTTCCTGAATCAATGCGGAACCTCGCCTCCCTACAAAACCTTGTGATAGTTCGATGTCCAGAAATACAAAAAAGATGCAAAGAACCAGATGGGGAGGACTGGCCCAAGATTCAACGCATCCCTAACCAATCCATTCATTCTGCGTTAAAACAGATTGCCATATATATTTTCACTCTCAATTTTTAATTTGTGTGTTCCTCTGCCCACGGTTTTTTTTTTTTCCTCTGCCTCCGGGTGCCATCTCAAACTTTCTTTTTGATCTATTTTAGAACTTAACATAATGCAAAATTCTGCCTAGTCTATCCTTATCTTGAATCAACCACATGCCAGTACGTTTATTAGCATTCACAGCAAACTAGTTTACAACATTTTATCTGTGATCCTTTTTTAACTTTTGGGAGGTCATAATTGCTCTGCTGGTTGTGCTGGTTATCTGTTGTCTTACTTATTATCAGCTAGCATAGACATTTTGTCATTTTTATTTTGCCCCCCACCTTCAGGTATCAACTCACTTTTCTGTTCAGTTAATGTAGTATTAGCCATTGTTTTTCATTGATCCATCTACTTCTATATGTTTGTGCAACAACATTTTATCTGGTATGATTATGTGTTTGCTTTCTAATATATACTGGACTAGAGAAATCCTGGTAGTGCTTGTGTGCACACCTGATTGACGACTAGATTGTAGCTCCAGGGTCGTTGTTGCTGGTTCGATTGTAAAATAAATTCTGAAAATTCATTGTGAAATTAGGTGAACATTCTGCCATGTCTTATTTTAAGAAGCCTAAATATAATTTGCAGCATTAGGTTAGTAAATGCTTGGTTTTTTTTGCAAAAAAAAGGACTCCCACTAAGATTTCACCTCTGACATTTAACATTGAGCTGTGACTATTCATGCTATGTTCAAGATATTGAAGTACGTTTTGATTTCTAGAAGCTTCTCCTATCATTTTGTGATTAACTGATAGTTGTTGAGAGTAATAATTCAATGCTATTAATTAATAAGATTAGAAAAAATAATTGATAAATGTACACATCTCAAAGAGAAAGTGTCCTGTTGATTGGGATTTAATTTGGTTGTGCCCTGATGAACAAGTTTGGAGTAACTTGAAATCAAGCTTTCCTGTCTAGCTTACTAGGTAAGAGAGCTAAAATGGGGGTTGCAGTGATTCTTGATTAGTCCGGTCGCATACATGTTAGAGTATCGTACCTACTGCAATTGTTTTATCAGTCTCAAAGTTTATATGCTTGGTGATCATTGTATTAACCCCTTTCCCTTGTATCTGCAGTGAATTCTTGACGAGGTCCTATGATAAGGGTGGAGTAGTCAATGTCGTTCTGAGCAAGCCTAGCCTTTCGTTCTTCTGAACAAGTATGGCTTAGAATATCCTGATTCTTATAAAAAAAAAAAAAAAAAAAAAATTGCTCCACCAGTACCTAGTATATTTATACAAAACATGATGCAAAATTCTTAATTCAAGGTAAAGATTTTGAACTTTTTATTTGCAGCATCTGCTTTACTTAATGTAGCAGCATTCTTGTTACCAAGTAGTCTTACTTATTTGTGTATATGCTACAGCTGCTTTCAGTTAGAAGTTCAAGCAGACTCTCTGTTGTAACGCCTCGTTCAAGAGCATTGATTACAATAGCTATGGCCCTCGATCGATCTGATGCTAACACATCCGTTGATCAAGTATTCAGATCACCAGGCTGAGCTCTATGTTATGCCTCCAGGCCTGCCCACATTTCTCCATTGGTATAGAACAAGTTATATATATTTCTCAGCTCGCATCTTGCGGCCTGCAGCTATGTTAGTTCAGTTCTTATTTCTTTGCTCTTTTTGATTGGTCTATTTTTTTTATTAGTAGTGTTGTTAGTTTTTGTTCATAAGCTCAATCTTTCGAGATCCTAGGCATTGGGAAGGCCCTTCCTAGAAGATAAGTCCCTCCCTAGGGTCTTTGTTCAATACAAATTTCTTACCTTTAAATTTAAAACGAATTATCTTACCTTCTCTACCAAGTACGTATTATATAATAAGATTATCCTTTCGATTTCTTTTGCCTCTCTTTGTTTCAATGTACTACTCATATGGTATCCTTTATTATGCAGAGCTTGTTAGAGCTCATGAACAATTAGCCTGATGATGTAATTGTAAATCTAACTTTTGGTAGTCTAATGATTGATGTATCTTGGATTGAAAGTATATTAGAATCAAATCCCACATATGAACGTCTATCTAGAATTGCTCATCCAAGTCATCCCTACTTTTACCTTAATCTTTTAGGTTAGGAAAATTAAATGTGTATAGGCATGACCATGTATGTAAAGGAGGAAAAGTCAAAGGGAAAAACTTACGTCTTGTTTAATTTGGTTACAAACTTATAATGGGAAATTAATTCCCATGATACGTTATTATTAATGTGAAGTGATTTTTTTTTCCTAATTTCTAAAAAATGACAAAATATAATTTTATCACTTAATAAACAAAATGGTAAAAAAACTAAAAATGTAAATAATTAACAAATTTTTGTCATATATGAGTCCAAAATTGTTGATTTTTTCACCAAAAGGCCATGATGACCGGACAAAATTGTTACGGAGTAGTTTATTAAATATTTTGTCACTTGATAAACAAATTTTGTTTATCTGTAAAGATTGAGGATTCCTCAAAAATAAAATTTAGTTTGTTTGGTATAAAAATATAGAAAATTTGAATCACTTAGAAAGACCATGTAATTTAACTCCTACTCCGTACGTTATAGAAAAATTTGTCAACAACTACCTTTTAAACTACTATTTTTGCAAACAACTACCTTCTACTTTAAATTTGCGAACAACTACCTTATATTGAGTTTTTGTTTTGGTACCACTACCATTTGACGAATTCCTTTAAAATTTCCGTTAGTGGGACCCACATTCAACGATTTCAAACAAAATAACTCTAATTACATAGATTAGGCCCCATTAAAACCTATTTTAAGCACCTTAATGCTATATCTAGTTAATTTAAATCCCATATTAATGCTTTTCAGTTTTAATTTGCCTAATTTATACCCAAATTATATTAGGGTTTTCAATTTGGGGTAAATTATCAAACTTTCAATGAAGGATTTTCAATATGGGGCTAATATAATATAATTCAAACATGCATTTGTGGTTTCAATTTACTTATTTTACTCCCAATTTACATTGAAGTCTCTCCAAAAAAAAATTCTCTAACTCTTCGATTATAATTTAGGGTGCTCAATTTAGAAGTAACAAAAATTTTGACGAAATCCGTCAACTGGTAATAGTACCAAAATACAAACTCAATATAAGGTAATTACTCACAAATTCTAAAGTAAAAGTTGTTGCTTACAAGATACTACCTCCGTTTTTTTTTAGTTGAAACCATTTGACTTTTACACTATTTACAAATTACACTTTGAGTAACTTTTGTGATGTATAGCTACGATAAAACAGTTAGTCAAGTGGGATCTTATTTGAATCGTCTCAATGTATGTTTTATGAATATTCACTTTTTATAATTTTACAATGTCGAGAACTAAAAATATTAATTGTATATTTAAGCAATCGTATATTTAAGCAATTTTGATACACGCATGTGTGTTACTAGCTGCCTTAGTTGACTTATATCAATTTTAAAACTATTTCCTAATTTGGGGAACGCAATTAATTGTATATTTAAGCAATTTTGATTACTTTTTTAGCTGTAAAGAAGTTTAATTTAATCATTTCCAATTCTCGTGAGATTGTTGTATGCATACTGTTTGGATCCAATTTCACCTTAATTGGACCGGTCCAAATGATCCAATTTAATTTGAAGGCCAAAGCAAGGTTCAACTCTCCCTTCCACATGTCAAGTCAGCCAAGGTCCAGTCACTGTGGCAAGCCCACTTTGGTCCACGGCCCATCAAGCTTGAAAATTTTACCCTACACCCTAGTGTAGGGTGTGTTCCCTACACCCCCCCTATGCTACGTCGTTTTGTAGCTGGTATTTGCGATTCTTTCCTTTTTTTTTTTTTTTTTTTTCCTTTTTTTCTTTTTTTCTTTTCTTCCTCTTTTTTCCTTTTTCCTTTGATTCTTATTATTCAATTTATGTATATATATGATTTTAAACCCTATTTTTTCTCTCTCTTCAATTGATCAACCAACCTCCATTTTAGATCTACATTTTTCTCTCGCTAATTCATCTTCTTCATTTGATTTTTTGAACGAATTCGTTAATTGTTACCGATCATCAATGGCGAATTCTGCATCTGGAGATTGCGTTGATTTTGATCGCGATTGCGAGCGTGTGTTTCCTTCTGGACTTCGTTTCGTTGATTCGTTTGTGCAACAATGTGAGTAATTGTGATCATAATTTTTCAATTTTTAATTATCCCTAATTTGTTCTGTTATAATGCTCTGTTAATTTGAACTTAATTGATGTATTATTATTCACTTTCGATTTTTGAATTTACTACTTTGATTACATTATGATGAACGTTTTTGGATTGTTGTACTTTGTATGAACATTTTGTTGCTTCATTTGTTGTTTCATTTGTTGTTTTCTCTGTGTTTTAGAATTGTGTGTTTTTGTCGTATATTTTGTAGATTATACTTTCAATTAATCGTTTATGTTTTCTTATTCATTGTTACTAATGTGTTTATGTTCAGTCTTAAAGTCATTTTTGATCATTTATTTTTACATTTTTATATCGATATTATGTGTAGTGGTAAATAATGAAAATATTGTTCAAAATATTATGTGCTGAAATTCTTTTTGCAATTGATCATGTGCTGTTTTGATATTGAACATTTTACTTATTTGTTATTGTTCATTCATGAAACTCTTTATGATCATTTATAATTGTATATTGTGCAGTGGAAAAAAATGATGATATTATGTATTTAGAAGCAGAACAGTCTGAATTAAAGGATAAAGAATTTAAATCTGAAGATGAAGCTTTCGAAGCGTATAATGAATATGCTTTTAGGAAAGGTTTTGGAATTCGAATTGGGAAGAGTAAGAGAAGAAGAGATGATTCTTTTTTGATGAAAAGATTTGTTTGTTGTAATGAGGGATTCAAAGATAATAAGTGTAAGAATAAAAGGATTTATGAGAAGTTGGATCATCGAACTGGTTGTTTAGCTTTTGTGCAGTTTCATATTGATCATTTAGGGGTCTATACATGTACAAGACA